GCTACGGTGAGTCATAGAGAACAAAAGAAGAGAATGTAAGAAAACGCAAAAGAGGAAAAGAGTCTGTGCCGAGCAAGAAATGGTCCATCGAGTGTGGGACATTTATTTGGTGGCGAGGTAGAAGAGGAAAGATAGAATAACTCTGCTTCCGGTCGGGAGATGAGACCTAAAACTCAAGGGAATTGGCTTTAAACTTGTAATAAATGGATTTGGCATAAGAGTTCTTAAGCCGAGGTTTAGATACCAGACTCCACATATTAAAGTTGAGTCTGGTCTGGTTCTCCGTTCAGACTCTGTATGATGCACTTGAGTTCTTTTCACATATTTTTCTTGTCTTTTCTAGCCACTTAGTCGACCATAAGGCTCTGGTAAGTTGCACCTGATCCCTAGTACCGTTGGCAGCGTCCAACACAAATCGGACCCTGAGTTGCTCTGTCAGAGCCAGCCAAGTTATTTTTTAATCGTTCATAAGTATAGACAACCTGTTTTTACCCTAACATGCATAAGGTTAAAGTGCTTTTATCCTTTGATTGAGAATTCAAACCTTAAGAATTTGAACTTGGCACATCTTTGAATGATATTTTTAGTTATCCCGAGTCCTTGATACGAGAACTCATGCCATGGGCTTCATCTACAGGGGTGATGTCCAATTCTGGTCCCTTTGAATGTTCGGTGTCGGGTCCTACTTCCTGTGGGTGTTAAGATACACTATCCGGAGTCCCACCTAGACGTGGATGTCTTCACCTATTAGTCTAGGCTATTGTTGATTCGGACCCAAACTCCTCTAGAGAGATTTTTGTTAGGAGATAAGATCCACAAAAGATGTTAATGGTCCCACCATGCAGTGTGATAAGTCGCGTCAGGCAATTCGCTTAACCCAAATAAGATTATTTCATCCCCAACAGTTGCTCCCTATTTTGGTCGAGCTCGAGTCAAGGGTTCGGGCGACAGATAGAATTGATATTTTCTTTTTCTTATTTTATTATTTTTCATACAGTATGAGTGTTTTTCCGGGATTCCAGCCTTTAACTTTGGTTTCAACCGATTATTTATGGTCTTTGTCCCATTTGTCAAGTGTGGAATATGATCTGCTATTCAACCCGAGTTGTCAATTCGGGTGATGAGTGAAAGAAATTGTTTCTTTCTTATTTTTCTTAATATCAGGGTAAGTGTTTTTTCCGGGACTGTGATTTTGAAACGCAGCTTTCGACTAATTAGGTAGTCAAAGTTTTCGTCATGTTTGTTAAGTGTAAAATATAATAAGCTATTCAATCCGACTTGACACTTCGGATGACGACGGGTGAAATTTTTTTTTTTTTTTAGTTGTACCAAGGTAAGTTTTTTCTGGGAATCCGACCTTGATACGTAGCCTTTCGACTAAGTACTCAAGTTTTTCGTCACATTTTTTTTAGGTGTAGAATATAGTTCACGATTCAACCCGAGATGGCAATTCAAGTGACGAGTGAAATTGTTTCTTTCACCTACGCTACTCCTGGATTTCAATCTTAGACGTGGCTTGTTACATATCATGCACCTAATGTAGAATTCAAATAAGAATACGTGTAGAACTCA